CCCACTCCGCCGCGCTACTCGGGCCCTCTCTGCTGCCTCTCCCTGCCCTGCCTTGCCCTGCCCTGCCTTGTCTTGCCAGCCCGGCCAAGGCACGCCCCCGTGCCCTGCAGCCCGCAGGCCTTCCGCAGGCAGCCATGGCGCACTCTGCCCTCCCATCCTTTGCCACAGAGAGGCGTTTTGCAGCCGAAGAGAAATGCCACCCAGTCAGTGTTTCCCGGTGCTGCCGTGGCCGAGAGGACTGGGCGCACAGGTCCCGCTGGAGAGCTCGGGTGCAGCCCTGCTCCTGGCAGGGCTGAAGCAGGGATGGACACACCAGCACCCACATCTCCCCAGGCAGTGGGGTGCCCCCCCGGTGCCCTAATGCACTATTTAACCGTGTGCACCCTGTGCAGGGCATCCAGGCACAGAGCACAGGGGCTCAGGTCAGCAGGAGCTGCGGTGCCCATGGGGCAGACGTGCACCTGTGCAGCCCAGTGCTCCCAGCTCAGCTTGCTGAGGCCACGACGCACCCTGAGCAGGGACAGGGCATCTGAGGGCAGAGGCAGGCAGGTACCAATTATGTGGCATGAACAAAGCCTGTCCTCGCTCCCAGTTCAGCCATGGAACACCACGCTGCTGCAGGCTATGCGCTCAGAAGGGATGAGAGACATCCTCTGCTGTAGCCAGCGGGATAACGCACAGGGAGAGCAGCTGGCCCCTCCGCAGAGCACAACCACTCATCCCTGCACTCCTCTCTCCCAGGCCCACTACCGCACCTCGGTCCCTGCCAGTGGACATCTGACACAGGTGCTGAGCCACAGAGCACCCCCTCTGTCACCCGAGGAGATGGGCAACTGGCGTGCGTCAGCCAGCAGGTCGCTTGAGCATCCTTCCTCCATCTCTTATGCTGTTACCTCTGTGCACTGCCCCAGGCTCTCCCCACACAGCATCTTGGGGCACACAGTGCAGCCCCAGAGACCCCCAGCAGGCGGGTGTGGGCTGGGCGCCTGGGGGTGCCCACAGAGGAGGCAAGCTGCCTTCTGAAGTGCCGCAAGGAAACCATGCAACCAGATTCACGTAGCAAGTGTCTCTTCAGCGGGTTTGCCCCTATATATATAGGTGCATCTACTGAATATATACATGCCTTAGCAATAGTATACTGGAAACTGTGCCACGCGTGACTTGATGGTGCTGAACTAATGCGTACAAAAGTATGGAGGGGTCCCTGCACCCTCTCAGTACAAAGTTCCTCCTGTTCAGCTGCAGAAGGGTCTGATTTTGGGGTGTGACAGGTAACCTGCCAGGGCTCCTGTGGGGCATGTTCCTTTGGTACCTGTGCAGTTTGCCCATGGAACTGCCAGATCCGGGAGGACTGACTGGTGCCAGGCTGCTGCGGGATGCTCAGGGCGGCAGAGTCCAGCCCAGGCGCTTCAGCTGAGCTGTGATCCTGGAGGGCCAGGGAGAGCCAGGACGCCTGGTGTTGCAGGCTGTTGCAGGCTTGGGCATCGAGCAGCAGCCGTTGAAAGCTCTGCTATGTGCATTCCTCACGGCAGGTGAAGATGTGGGTTAACCCTGGGAGAAGAGAACCTGGAGATTTCCCTTTGGAGGTGAAAGGCTGCGACACAGCATCTGTGGGGCATCCAAAATGCATTTCGTGGGCAGTCGAGCAGCTCTGGAGTGGCTGTGGTCAGTGAGAGGAGGTCCCCCCGGCAGGCCTCTCGCCAGGGCTGGCACACCCACTGCTCCCCAGCTGACACGAAGCAACCATGGCTGAACACACTGCTCACTCCAGCAGCCGGACGAGGAGCTGGGTGTGCCATCAAGCTTCTCCCTATGCAACTGGGGTCTGGCCAGCAGGGACGGGGCTTTCTGCCCCTCCATGTAGCATGTCCAAAGCTCAAACTATCCAGAGAGTTTTTTGTTTTGCCCTGTAATTGCACAGTCCACTGTGAGCTAGTGGCAACTCCCAGCTTCTCCTTGAGCAGGTAATGGCTGCTGGACAGTCCCTGCTCCAGCAGGCACATACTTGCACACATCCCTTCCCCAGGCACCTGTCCCATACTCAGGCCGCGATCTTCCTCATGAAGAAAGTCCATCTGACGTTCCTCCTGTCCGACTAGGAGGGAGAAGCCACTCTGTCCCAGTCATTGTCATCAAGAACATGCTGCATCAATAAATAACCCTCGTCTCAGCCCACATTGCTACCAGGCTCAAGCCAGCAAGCGAGCAAGAGGTCCGAGTCGTCCCATGCCATGGCTCTCCTTGCTGCCCTTGAGGTTTTCTTCTGAGGCTTCACTGTACAATGATAACAAGACCAGCTGCCCGGGTTTTATTGCTAAGTCCAAGTGAAGTGGCTTTAGTTTGCCTATGGGGCTCCTCTGGGAATGGGAATGGATGGGGACTGGGATGGGGGGAGCAAAGAGTCATTCTTCACTAGCTGACTCTTGGAGAAGGTGATGGATGTCCTGGAAGGAGGGACGATCTTTAGTGTCCCGTCTCCAGCAGCTGAGCATTAGCTTATAGACTGAGTCAGGGCAAAGTGCAGGCTGGGGAAGGTAAGTCTTCAAAACAAAAGGCAAAGATGACAAAGTTACTGCAATGGAAACCAAAAAGCAAACTGCTACTGAGGAGCCCCATTTTTCCATGCGCCAGGGTGGGGGGCTGTTCTGCTGTGTGTTCAGGGGCAAGGGGACCCCAGACAGCACAGCAGGGGCGGGAGACACCTGCTCATATCTTCCAGCCTGGATAAATACCAGAGCGGGGTCAGCGGGCAAGTGGCGCCTTGAGCTGTGCAAAGTGCAAGATTTGCCATCCCAGGCCCTTCATCAGGACTCCTTCCCAGATGAGTTCCTGTCCCTTAACTCTCCCATAACCAAGCTCCCTATCTGGCCACCTTGAAGTCTTTCCCCATATTGCCACTGTCCCAGGCACTCCACTGCTACTGCCTGTCCCATCCCATCCCATCCCATCCCATCCCATCCCATCCCATCCCATCCCATCCCATCCC